TCTTGAACAGTCAAAACACAGTTGTTCTGTCTTTCAAAGGCATGGCAAACAACTCTTAAACCCAGAAATGCATGCATTTAAATTTTAAAATAAAGTAAAAGCACAGAGGAAAGGCTTTGATTTTGCATGCAGATGGGGCCAAAGTCCCGCACTCACAGTGTAAACGAAGTTTCCCAGCAGAAGATAATCCGAGGTTTTCCCATTTCCGAAGACTGTACCTGTAAGGAAAAGAAGAGAGGAAAATGTCAGAAAGGAAAACGAGATTCTTTCGGAAGTCTCATGAAGTAACTATAAAACAGTCCACGAATTAAAAACAAATTTCCAGGCTGGGAATGATGGCTCACGCCTGTCATCCTAGCACTCTGGGAGGCCGGGGCCGGAGGATCACTTGAGCTCAGGGGTTCGAGACCAGCCTGAGCAAGAGTGAGACCCTCGCCTCTACTATAAATAGAAAGAAATTAGCCAAACAACTAAAAATAGAAAAAAAAATGAGCCGGGCATGGTGGCGCGTGCCTGTAGTCCCAGCTACTCGGGAGGCTGAGGCAGGAGGATGGCTTGAGCCCAGGAGTTGGAGGTTGCTGTGAGCTAGGCTGACGCCACGGCACTCACTCTAGCCCGGGCAACACAGTGAGACTCTGTCTCAAACAAAACAAAACAAAATTTCCAAGGGGCAACAGGAAGAAGAAAACCTGACCTGTTAACCAATTCTGAGGGTCCCTGAGATTTAAAAAAAAAATCAAACTAATTGTTCAAACAAAGCTGTGGGCATGAAGACAGGAGGAGGCATTCTGAACCGTAATAAAGAACTTTGCTGACATTATGGATGAGGGTCACAGGGAACCTTCTCGCTATTCCTCAATAAATTTGTTCCCATGGGACCAAAAGGCATCTATAAAAACTCACAGAGGGCCAAGAAGCGCCAATAGGATTCCAGGCGTAGCGGTTGAGGGTCTGGCTGAAACTAGGGGCGTATTTTGAACTATTTCCTTATTCTAGCGATCATTAATAAACACACATGGCTTTAGACGAAGGGAAGTGGTAGGTAGCTAACAAACAAAAACTACTACTGCTGATAAAAATCAAATGAAAATTAAAAAATGGCTGGATAATTAAAGTATTGGCACAACAACTGAAAAATTTAGGTATAATAAAAATTTAGGCATAGCACAGTATTTTAGGCATAATACATTTATATAATATACAATTATAATATATATAAGTCATATATAATTATACAAATATATGATATAATATATAATTATGATTTAGGTATAATACGATATTTATGCACATATTCAACAACATTTATTCAAAGCCTAACACAGGAGCAAGGAATATGCTAGAATAAAAGCACGGAGGAAGCTGGGAGGGCTGTGCTTGGAGCTTGAGAGACACAGACCCTTACTCTCCAACGCAACTCAGTTTCTCCACCAAGGAGGAGCAAAACCCTGGAGAGGGCTGAGGGTAAAATGAGGTTACGTATGTAAAGTACCATGTTTCCCTGAAAATGAGACCTACCCATAAAATAAGCCCCAGCAGGATTTCCAAGCATGTGCACAATAGAAGCCCTACCCCGGAAATCAGCCCTAGTGATGGGCGTGGCTATGAAAATCAGCCCTAGTGATGGGCGTGGCTATGAAAATCAGCCCTAGTGATGGGCGTGGCTATGAAAATCAGCCCTAGTGATGGGCGTGGCTATGAAAATCAGCCCTGGTGGTGGGCGTGGCTGTGAACATCAGCCCTAGTGGTGGGCGTGGCTGCGCAGCGCATCTGCACAACCCATGCGTGTCGTCGTGGAGCGGGAAAGAACATGAGCAGCCCTTCTCATCTGCCCCGTGAGAGCTCTAGTGCTCCACAGGAGAGATGGGGCCAGTGGTTCTAAAGAAAACAGAGTCGCAAGACATTCAGGATGGGATTCGGGGTTTGGAGAGTGAGGATGATGTTCCAGAAGAAGACGACTTCACTCTATTTGAATCAATGGAGATGGTTGTACCGTCCTTAAAAAAAATAACACATCCTCTGAAAATAAGCCCTAAGGGTGTCTTCTTGAGGAAAAATAAATAGAAGACCCTGTCTTATTTTCGGGGAAACAAGCACAGTGTCTGGCCTGAGGGAGGTTTAGCATTTGGAGAATTCAGGTAAATCACTCGTTCTCATATTTTCTGGTCTCTGGATCCCTGGGTAGGATCCCAGAAAACTTTGGTTTAGGTGCTTTATATTAATATCTATTAATGTTAATAGATTAATATCTATTAATATCTATTAATGTTTCCCACATCAGAAATTAAAACAGAAAATTTATAGTTATATATTGATTCATATAAAAATAAGACCCAACATGGTATACTTATAAACAATGGATTTTCTGAAAAGTAACTCTTTTCCAAAATGGAAAAAAAAAAAAAAAAGGAGTGAGAAAACTGGCATGGTTTTACATTTTTACAATCTTCTCTAATATCTGGCTTAACAGAAGGCAGCTGGCTCCTCATACGATGCTTTGGCTGAGATATAGGAGGGAGACCCAGCTTCACAGGGAGATGGGGAGTTATAACGGGCAAGAGTTTTTTAATCATCTTTCCCAGTAACGGTGGATATTCTCTGACAACACCACACCGAAACTCAACAAGTCATTTCCTAAAGAGGTAGATAGAGGTGGTCTCTCCAAGGCGAGGGGCCGGCGTGGAATCAGAAACCGCATCAATGAACCTTTTCTTTTTTTCTTTTTACTGTATGACATTAAAATCCACATGTCTACTTTGCACTTTGCACGGCTCTCTCACCGATGCACGATTCCATGACCTCGAGAAAGAAACTGGTTCGGCTCTTGACAATCCACAAGGAATCCTTGTTCCTTGAGCCCCCCTCTGAACTGTGGTGTGCAGAAGTGCTTTGTGCGCACTTCCCATCTTGCTAGGCAGAATAGCACGGCGTGCACCAAGCTTCAAGACTCAATGAACACACGGGTTTTATGGTGTCTTCAAGCACAGGAAGAGAAACTGGGTGGGTGCAGTGAACAACGTACCCACCGGTCCACTGTTTTTGTGTGAAGGCACCAGCAGCTGTACCCACCATTGCTTTTGCATCAGCAGTGAAAAACTCAAATATTTTTTGTTTGTTTGTTTGTTTTGAGACAGAGTCTCACTCTGTTGCCCAGGCTAGAGTGAGTGCCGTGGCATCAGCCTCGCTCACAGCAACCTCAAACTCCTGGGCTCAAGTGATCCTCCTGCCTCAGCCTCCCGAGTAGCTGGGACTACAGGCATGCGCCACCACGCCCAGCTAATTTTTTTTCTATATATATTAGTTGGCCAATTAATTTGTTTCTATTTATAGTAGAGATGGGGTCTCGCTCTTGCCCAGGTTGGTTTTGAACTCCTGAGCTCGAGCAATCCGCCCGACTCGGCCTCCCAGAGTGCAAATAATGTTTTAATACTATTAAAAAAATTTTTAAACTATGAAATTTTGACCTCATGGACCCCCCCAAAAAAGATATTCCCAGGAGTCTACTCTCTGAGGACTGCTAAGGCAAGAGAATAAATATTAATTATAGCTACGTATTATATTGCATGTTTATTGTTCTTCTGTACCCCCATCTTTTCAAACACCACAAAACAAAACAACCTCCACCCAAACCCTCCTTATTTAACAACAAAAAATAAGGCAGAACAACTATAAACCCCTCAACATCAGACCTACAAAACACAGTTACGATACACGTCCTTCATCCTTTAACAAAACTGAAAGCAAGGGTTGGCTGGACGTGGCTAGACTTGGTCTCCACGGGCAGCTCCCCTGTGGACTGCCTCAGCTGAATGAAGGTGGGTAGTCAGGTTTTTCCCCAGAAAAGTGCAACGAGAGATCTAGAATCTGCTCTCCAGAAGAGGAAATTATTCAGGAATTCCTTTCAAACTCTGTCCTTGCTGTTTCGGATTCTATTTGGTTTGAGCTATTTTTTGGTACTTGATTTTTTTTTTCTTTCTTTTTTTTTTATTGCAGCATACTATGGGGGTACAAATTTTAAGGTTTCGAATAATGCCCTTTGTCCCCCCTCCCCCCACAAGTCTGAGCCTCAAGTGTGACCATCCCCCAGACGGTGCACGTCTCACTCATTATGTATGTATATACCTGCCTCCTCCTCCCCCCTCCCACCTGCCCGACACCCAATAAATGTAATTCCTATGTGTCCACTTAGGTGTTGATCAGTTAATACCAATTTGCTGGTGAGTACATGTGGTGCTTGCTTTTCCATTCTTGAGATACTTCACTTAGTACAATTCTTTGACAACACCACACCGAAACTCAACAAGTCGTTTCCTAAAGAGGTAGATAGAGGTGGTCTCTCCAAGGTGAGCTGCCGGCGTGGAATCAGAAACCGCATCAATGAACCTTTTTTTTTTTCTTTTTACTGTATGACATTAAAATCCACATGTCTACTTTGCACTTTGCACGGCTCTCTCACCGATGCATGATTCTATGACCAGCTCTAGCCAGGAAAATACAAGATGTGCTATGTCACCGTTGTTTCTTAGAGCTGGATTTTTTTTTCTTATTTAGAATGTTGAGATAGCAGTTTAACAGATGCACATGCCTTGTCTTTCATACCTATATTGCTTTTGCATTTTGAAAACAGACTTCACCTGGAAAATCTGTCTAAGGTCAGGGCATCCCGAATGGTACCCTGGACTTCAACCCATTGCTCCAAAAAGTGGAAATTTTCCACCAACTGATGGATGGATAAAAAAAATGTGGCATATCTGTACCACAAAACATTATTCTGCCATAAAGAGAAATGAAGTACTATTCACGCTGCAATATGGGTGAATGTATTATATAATTCCATTTATATGAAATGTCCAGAATAGATAAATCCATAGAGACCAAAAAATTAATGGTTGCCAGGGGCTGGGTAGAAGATACAGAGAAACAGAGAGTGACTGCTAATGGGTAGGGGGTTTCTTTATGGGATGATAAAAACGTTCTGTCACTAGGTAGTGGTGATATTTGCGCAATTCCGTGAATATACTAAAAACCACTGAATTGTCTACTTTAAAAGAGTAAATTAACCATACTCACTCTATCCCCCAACTCCGTGCAACTTTTCCCAGCTTCTGGTAACCAGCATTCTACTTTCTGTCTCCACGAGATGAACTGTTTATAATATTTAGCTCCCACATGTACGTGAGAAGGTACAAGGTTTGTCTCTCTGTGCCTGGCTCATTTCACTTAACATAAAATTCTCCAGTTCCATCCTGTTGTTGCAAATGGCAGGATTTCATCACTTTTTGTGGCTACATAATATTCTACCATGTATACCATGTTTCCCCGAAAATAAGATAGGGTCTTCTATTTATTTTTCCTCAAGAAGACACCCTAGGGCTTATTTTCAGGGCATGTGTTATTTTTTTTTAAGTATGGCACAAACATCTACATTGATTCAAATAGAGTGAAGTCTTCTTCTGGAACATCATCCTCACTCTCCAAACCCCGAATCCCATCCTGAATGTCTTGCGACTCTGTTTCCTTTAGAACCACTGGCCCCGATCTCTCCTGTGGAGCACTAGAGCTCTCACAGGGCGGATGAGAAGGGCTGCTCGTGTTCTTTCCCGCTCCGCGACGACACGCATGGGTTGTGCAGATGAGCTGCGCAGCCACGCCCATCTCTAGGGCTGATTTCCATAACCACGCCCATCACGAGGGCTGATTTTCATAGCCACGCCCACCACTAGGGCTGATTTTCAGGGTAGGGCTTCCATGGCACACATGCTCAGAAATCCTGCTAGAGCTTATTTTATAGGTAGGTCTTATTTTCGGGGAAACACGCATGTACCACAATTTCTTTATCCATTCATCTGTTGGTGGACACTTAGCCTGATTCCAAATCCTGGCTATTGTGCATAGCACTGCAATAGACATGGGAGTGAGTGCAGATATCTTTTCAAGACACTGAATTCCCCTCTTTGGGATGGATACCCAGCAGTGGGATTGCTGCGTCACATGGTCATTCTGTTTTTAGTTTTTTGAGCAAGCTCCATACTGTTCTCCATAGTGGTTGCACTAACTTATTATTCTACATCTGTGGTTGCTCTTTCGGATGGGCTGATCTGGGAAGGCCCCTCTGAGCACAGGGGTGGGGAGGGGTGAGTTGGGGGGGGTGGAAGAGCCAGCTCAAGTATCTGGTGAAGAATGGGGAATAGGGTGTAGGTGGAGGGTTTTGTTCTAAATGTGATAAAAACCTCGTGGGTTTCCGAGGAGGGAGGCATCTGGTCTGATGTGGGTTTTACAGAGATCTCTTTGGGTACCCGTGGAGCAGGGGGTGTAGGTGGGGCCAGGGCCACCACTAACCCTTAGACAGCGGGGACCGGCAACTCCCAGGGTGGACCATGTGCCACATTTTTTATTATTGCAGTTTTGAATCACCAAAGGGTTGGCGTCCTCCCCGGATCCCGAGGCGAGCTCTACCCCGGGACAGAGCAGTACCAGCTTTTACGACTCCTAGAGTGGCTATTTCATCATTTTTATGTGTGTAGGAAACAAAGCCACCCTCCCATCTCTCCAAACCAATAGCATAAAATCAGCCCCTCAAAACGAGCAGAGAAAGATCTGACACCTCGAGACGAACATAAAAAACATATTAAAAACCTCATCCAAGACGCTGGCTCAAGTGTGCTTGAAAACACTAGCATGTCTGATTAGGTTCAGGATAAAAGAGCTCGCTACAAGCCTCACAGGTATAATAAATAGGCTACATAAAATATTAGCGCTCACTGTCCTCAAACTATACATCAACAGGGGTGGAGGTAAAAAAAAAAAAAAAAAAAAAAAAAGCCCTAAAATTTAACTCTCTGCAAGTTTGGAAAACACGAGAAGTAAAAAGAAGAAAGGCTTTGCATATATTAAATCACTTGGCTCCCAAAGGAATAATAAAAATCTTTAAAGTGTGTACAATTTTTTGGATGCATGCGTTTGAGGTTAAGGAAAATACCATAAAAATGAAACACTGCATTATTTTTTTAAAACATACATTGACAATGGGATATTTTTCTTAAAAAGTAAAAAGTCATCTCTTAGCATTCATACCCTTTCTACTTACCATACTGAAGGGCTTTTAGTGGAAACCAAAACAGAATGATTGAGTGGAAGAGGCCATTTAAACAATGAACCCAGAAAACCTGAGGGAAAACAAAAATCCATGAGAACCATTTGCGATAAACTAGCTCTGTGAACCCTGACCTTTCCTTTTTATCTACGAGCTAGATCCACAGAACGTGTTTTGGTCAGGCCACCACTGTGAATTAATAGAACTGACAGACACTTTTCTGCCTCCTTAGACTCTCATGGGTCATTTATTTATTTTTATGTTTCTTGAAATGTTTCCTCAGCTTCAATGGCATTTTTTCTACTTTTTAAAAATCAGACAGCAACAGTTTACATTTTCCTGCCTGGAAAAGAAAATAGAATTTAAAAATCTGCGCAGATTCTGAAATTTCTTACATGGGACTGTTTTCCTAATTCCAGATGAAGCGACTTTTGAAGAGATTATATAACCTGGGGAAATCCTTTTTCTCTTCCCCCTGTACAAGCGTAAACTTTTCAATGCTTAAAGACACAATGTTTTCTCTTATAAGAGAGAGATAAAGATACACACTTGTTAAAGTATAACATTTAAATTGTATCATCATTAGAATAAAGCATTGTGACTACAACTGAGTTTAAGAGAGGCTTTCCCACATTTTTTTTTAACACTTGTTAATACCAAGTTTCAAATAATTGTAACGTCGTTTAATATAGCTGCTACTTTCTTATGTCTATTGTATCCCAAGAACAAGGGAGTAAGCATCTCTGGGGTGTTCTCAGCAGCACGCATGTGAAAGATTAAGTCATAGAATAAGAAATGTTTAGAATTCTTACGGCCCCCCCAAAACAGTTGTAGTTTTTGTCCTCTAAAAGTGCTTCTTGCAGACAAAACTTAACGCTACATACAACCGGCAGTAGTAATAGTTTTAAGCTGTTCAAACAACAGAAATTAAGTTGCTTGCCTCCCAAAATTTTCCACCGCGAGCTCAATTTCTTTTGTGAGCTGCCCCAAGCCACGCTGGAGATTGTATGATCCAATTTACGCCCCAACACATTACACATTTGAACTTGTGTTACTCATTAACCTCTGTCTCTTCCCCTCACTATGTCATTCCCCCGAGTTTTTATTTGACAGAGAGCACAGGTGGGTGGCAGGAGAAATTAGTTCTACTTTTCCATTTTCCTGACGGGTACTTATTGTCCCATGCTAATCCTTTAACCCCTGTCATGACCTTGGGAACCTCCGACCCCTTTTTAGCATAACAAAAGCAAGCATGGCGATTCAGGGCAACAATGCCTCTGCGCTTGGCACCCCTGGCAACCAATCGCTGAGTCCACAGAGATGCATTTTGCAAACATTTGTTGCTGAATTTTCAATCATTTATATGAGGTTTCTTTATATCGAGGACTCTTCACTGAAACCATCAGAAAAATCCACACTCCCTATGAAGTGTGGTTGGCAACTTGTGCGTATAGACTAAGAAATATTCACACGGCTATGGAAATGGTGTGACCTATTTGGGTTGATCTGACCGACTTTTCTGAATTGCCTGGGGTCTGGCTCATAACGAGGTACATCTTCAGCAACCAAAGATAACAAGAAATGGCGCTCCCACGTTAAAACTATATGCTACTACCTGGTATATGCCCTTTCCCGGGCCACAACTGCGTCCAAACTGCCAACTCACAGAGGACGTGAAAAGATGTGGCTTTTTGGGAATGATTTCGGGTAATCCTGTGAGGATCAATTTGTGTGTTTTTTTAATTTTTTTTATTTTTTTAAGACAGAGTTTCACTCTGTTGCTCGGGCTACAGTGCCCTGCCATCAGCCTCGCTCACAGCAACCTCCAACTCCTGGGCTCAAGCGATCCTCCTGCCTCAGCCTCCCAAGTAGCTGGGACTACAGGCATGCGCCACCATGCCCGGTTGATTTTTTCTATATATATATTTTTAGTTGGCCAATTAATTTCTTTCTATTTTTAGTAGAGACGGGGTCTCGCTCTTGCTCAGGCTGAACTCCTCACCTTGAGCGATCCTCCCGCCTCGGCCTCCCAGAGCGCTAGGATGACAGGCGTGAGCCACCGCGCCCGGCCAGCTCGATTTGTGTTTTGAAGCAAAAGGGACATGGCCAAGTTTTTGTGGCTGGAAGTTAACTTCCAAGACGGGACCACAGAGCCTGGGCTACGGTAGACAGAGACCTGTGGCTGAGGCTCAACCGTCCAGGCTGGTGAGAATTATTGTTAGCATACCAGCCAGAACTTTCCTAGCTCCCAGATCACTTCCTCAGGGAAATAAGAGCTCACAGTCCCTAGTGTCTGTCTTTCAGTCACCGATGTTGACTGTCACTTGAAAACACCCACCATAGGTCATGAAAAAACATTACAGCAATGGGGGGGGGGGAGTTCGATACACACTGGGCATCATAAATAAATTTTAACAATCCAAAAATAAAACATTTAAAAACAAAAGCGAGACATTATGATAAGCAGTGATTGTTTCAAAAGAGGTCATTAAAAATACTCTTCAGAAGCAATAAAGAACCCTTTAGCGTGTTTGCTTTTTTTTTTTTTAATTAACCACATTCAATTCTTTAAAGCAAGGCTGTCGAGTGGCATGTGGGTGTGCACAGGCGGACTCAGAGTGTTCATGGAGACTGAGTCTCAGAAGAAGAATAACCTCTTGGCCATAAACTTAGCACTATCATTTATGGCAGGGGTCCTCAAACTTTTTAAACAGGGGGCCAGTTCACTGTCCCTCAGACTGTTGGAGGGCCGGACTATAGTTAAAAAACAAACAAACAAAAAACTATGAACAAATTCCTATGCACACTGCACATATCTTATTTTGAAGTCAAAAAACAAATGGGCAAAAACACCCGCATGTGGCCCGTGGGCCGTAGTCTGAGGACACCTGATTTATGGCGCGAAGTGAGAGGCACTAAAACACCTGTTTCCATTTATTCGCCTGGTTTACCGAGAATGCCCTTGGAAAGCTCTAAGAATTCGTAAATATTAAAAATATCCTACATTAACTGTCCTATATTTAAGACACTGAATTAACATCACATCTAATGATCACTAACATGCTAATAAACATGCAGTATATGAAATGGAAAAAAGTTCTGTGAGGGTGCATTGCATCTGTTGCTTTTATAACGCTATAAAATGCACAAATGCTAGTACCTTGATTGTTACATAATACTAAATGATTCCCTCCTTTCTTGAAACACAAATTTGAATTATTAACCAATACCAGCAGAAACTTTAGGATATGTACTTGCAGGAAAATAAACCAGGCAGAAGCTGAAATATTTTTTTTTTTGTTGCTGGGATGGATAAATATACCATGGACCAATAAGAGATGATGACAGCCTGTCTACTGCTTGTTATGTAGAATACAAACCCAGAATGTGATTTTTAGATAAAATGTTGGATATTTTCTCCTGTATTTTTAATTTTACGGCTTGGAAACACCGTGTAATTAGGATTGAAGAAGCTAATTCCCAGAGACTACAACACTGATAACAGACGCAATCCATCTGTAAGAATCTAATGAGGACAAAAATAGGAAATTAGTACCCTATACCCATTTGTGAAGCTAGCCTTTGCCCATCCTAGACGACTAAGCTCCATGAAAAGCGAACATTTCCCCACAACACTGCAAAGACAGAACGCCAGAGGACCAGAAAGACAACTTCTGCATCCCAGACCAGCTTAACTGCTACCTTGCAAATCTCAGTGGCTCGAAGTTACGTTTTAATAATAATAATCATCATCATAATAATAACCTCCCCCTCCCCCAAGCAAACAACGTCAAACCTTTTCCGTTCATTTCAGAAACTTAGAAAATTACGACCTGCCATGGTTGTCTCGGGCTGGCAGGCAATCTCCTTGGCTTTTGGGAAACCAGACGCCCCCCGAGTTCTGAGATCAGGAAAGCCAGACCCACCCAACGCGGGCCGGGGGCAGCGCGTCTCCTTACCTTGGTGTTGAAGTCCAGGGCGTTCTGAGACGTTTTGTATAACTCAGGGTACTTCAACATGTTCTCCTTCCTGCACGACCGCTCAAATATTCCAAGAGTTAAGGGGGGCATCGCTGTGAACATCTAAAGCGCGCAAACTGGTCATTATGTCAAGCGCCAAACGCGGGGCGAACGCTTATCTTTAAAAGTAATCGAACGAAACGGAGATGATCAAATGTTCTAGACTTACCACGTTATAAAGCCCTATGCACCACCTCTCAAAGAGAATCTGTCCGGAGAAGCCATTCACAAAGGCAAACCAGATCTAAGGGGAAAGAAAAGAAAAAAAAAAACCCCAAACCCCCCAAATTAGAACACAAAAACATAAATGCATTATTTATAATCTGTCGTATACTAAAAACCTCGCATGACAGCAGTGTTAACATATATATTACTGAAGTTTCGCGACTCTTTTGAAAATGCCATTTCTTTGCTTTTACTTTTTGATTTAAAGGAATACTTCCACAAGGCATTTGTTATTTGTAAGTCAGGATGGGTTCTACTTGTTGAATCAGAAAAGAACTATGTGAACAGGGAATCACAGATTAAAAATAAAAAAAAAAAATTAAATACAATCTTGTTTCTCAAAGGTACTTTAGGGAATATATTTATATGCTATTAGATTTTCACAGCTTTTAATTAGCTTATACAATATCTACCAGGATGTAGTTATTTAAAGATCATTTTCATTATAAAAGTAATATGTATCTTTAGAAAACATTTTGCTGTAATAATACAATCGCTATTTTCTTCCGTGTTGGTTGTATTTATACAGTTCATTTAAATGCCTTCATGATTTACCTTACGGGAAACCTACTGTATACAGCAGTATCACACCCTCATCATTCTATGACATGTATTTTCTTAAATTGTTATATATCCTTTAAAATGATGTCAATGGATATATAACCTCTCGAGTAGATATGACTATTTTGGACAATTAGCTTACTAATCCAGGTTTGCTATTTAATTCTAATTTGCTAAATAATTCTAATTTAATTCTAATTTGCTAAATAATTCTAAACTGAAACCCTACACATTTCTTTTTCCTTAGGATTAATTCTTAAAGTAGAATTAATGCATTAAAGTGCATAATAGGGGGGCACAGGCAATATATGTAACTTTAACACTTGTACCCCCATAATACGCTAAAATAAAAAAATAAATAAAAAAATAAAGTGCATAATGGTTTCTTTTTTTTTTTTTACAGTTCTTGATAATTACTGCCATCAGAATGTTAAATTTATATATTAAAATATTTTTCACTTGAATTGTACTTTTAAATAAAATCAAATGTTTAACTACTAGAGCATAATGTCGTTACGCCTATTATAATTCTTTTTAAAACAGAAAACTCTGCAAACAAAATTAAGGGACAACATAGGGAAATTTTTCTTCAACATGTCTAAGACATAAGGAAAATCGAAGTGACTATAGTAAATAAATAAGATCAGTTTTTTTTTTTTTTGAAAAGCAGATCTAAAATAGAACTAGAAATCAGGGTGCAAAAATTAAAGAGTAAAAAGGCTGGCCCGGCGATGAGATTACATAAGCACAAACACAAATACAAAACAACAACACAAATTGCTGTTGGAGGAAAGGATTCTTGACATGCACCCCTGTGAATTTGTGAATCAGAGTCACCGGGACTTTGCTACACTTCACGTTTCATTTAACCTCATTATGGAAGCGTGAACTGGTACAAATTCGCCATTTATCAATAATGTGCCCAGGCTGGCCTCCCTGTGAACAGTTTTGCGATCCACGCTGATCTTCTTCCTTTCTATAGTGTAAGAGAACCAGGCAGCATGTATAAAAACAAATGTCTGCTCCATGAGATGCAAAAGGAAACAAAGTTGCGACAGCACATGAAAAGTCCACAGGGCTGTTTGAGTTGTAACACGCATGGCAACAAAAGTAACAAAAAGCACAGAAATCAGATTCCAATCTCAAATTCCCGCTTGCTCTTGCTACCTGTAGTGACAGAAAAAATTTTGAACATCTGCCTGAAACAAGGGGTCAGACCAGTGGTCCCTGCAAATTCAAAAACAACGGGGCATCTTCATGGGAAATTAAGTTTGTTTTTTTTCCCCCCTGGTATTTACAAGTTGACAAACGGATTTTAATGCTCTCTATTGTCTTTTTCACATTTGGCCTTTTTGAGATGTGGATTATAATAAATACATGTTTGTGATACTCCTGGTGATGGTACTATATATTTTCCGTGAAGGCAGCTGTGATCTATTGTACTGATATACCCTAAAAAAGCTCTTTCAGATTTCTCGGGGTATGACGGAAATATAAGGAAATTTTAAATACGAACTTTCACTTGTGTCCCTCTAGATTATAAAGACACAGTCCTATCTTTGTTGGCTTGAAGAAAGATGGGGCTATCTGCATACCATCTTCATCTGACAGACATTATGTGGCTCAAGGTTATTGTTTTAAATGCATCTTCCATAATCAATACTAGTATGAGAAGTTCAAGCTAATATATTTGTGAATGGGTAAACATTTATAAATGTGATCGGTCTTCTAGCTCCTTTGCACATGACATTTAGTGACAACTCAAAGGCAACTATGAGCTTGAAATTTAAGACCTTCCCTCAAAATCAAGAATATTTACAGAAAGTCTCAAATCCCAAACACTTTCAAATAAAGCAACATATCTGAGTTCAAAGTGTATTTTAAAATGCATACGTTAACTGCCCTATGACTGAAATTTTTTAAGTGGAAAGCTACCAACACTCTTTTATCATTTTATTTTTCCTGCTGAAAGGTAGGTGAACGGTGTTTTTAGAAATTTACTTACTGCATTTTTGAAAGTTAATATTCTAATACTTTTTCCTCAAAAGGAGAAATGACTAGAACAGAACAAAACCTTTCGATAAAGTACTCTACATTTTCACACCAATATTTTGATATTCAAGTTTACATTTTCTTTTTCCTTTTTTTTTTTTTTTTTTTTTTTTTTACATATTTTAAAGGAGAAAGCAAAGTTCTACTGGAAGGCTGATTTCAGGTTAGGTTGAGATCTGTAGTTAAATGATACACCAGGAACATATGCTAAATAAAACACCACCTACATTACTAAAAACACATAAAAGTCCCTCCTTTGACTCAACCAAAGCCAAAAGTGCGGAACGAAAACACCAGCCCCACAGGTGGAGTGTCTGGATCATTTTAAATTCCCAGGGAAATCTGTTCTCCCGGCGCAAAGTGGCTGGGAAACTATCACCTTACTGACTTTTAATCAAAGCTTTTTCTGGAAACTAGAAACACTGCACTGTTTTGGGGTCTCACCAGAAAACCTGGATTTGACAGATCATTTGAAAGAAAAGGTCTCATTCTGCTAGGAAGCAGTCAGACATTTCAGAGAAATAAAGAAACAAACAAACAAAAAACACCAAAATCTCTTTAGAAAGAGCCAATAATTTAAAGGAATACCTACGTCTGTGGCTGCCTACCGTGAGTAAGAAGAGCTTTATGTGACCACCTGCCAAATCTGTATATATATATATATATATTTTTTTTTTTATTTGTCTGGCTGCGACTTATGGCAACAGATTATGGAGACGGTGGCATTCTGAGCAACACAGCGATGGGAAAAAGCGGTCTGGGCAGATAATCTACAAAAACCCACAGTGTCCGGGACTAATATCAGCAAAGAAAACTGCAGACCTGCCCCGTCCTGCTATTATTTCCTAAATTCCACCTCCCAGCAGAGAGGCGTGGCCGAAAAAGCTTCACATTCATTTTCCTCCCGGAGCATTTCTGCATAGTAAACAGCAGCTTACAAAAAAGCGAAGGGGTCGTCTGCTCCCACGCCTGATGGGCACAAAAAAAGTTGAAAAAGGGGAGACTGGAGACTGGCAGCTGTCCTCACTAGAGACTTTCAGAGATGTGTTTTCTGTCTCTCCATTCACAGTATTGACATGAGCCATTAACATCTGCAGAGCTTGTTTTAGCTGGCAGACCTTGGGTATGTGGGAATTGACTGAAAAGCTCAATTCATTTCCAAGACGGCTGAATTACATTAAAAAAAAAAAAAAAAGCACTTCCGCAGAGCGCTCAAAGAGAGAAATAAAAATGAGATTTCCAGGAGAGTTTAGATCTCACTTCCTTCCCAAGGCGTGAAGAATCTGATCAAGGGCTAAATATCTCGTGAAGAGGCTTTAAATTCAAAGCCAAGTGAAATTCGGGAGCGAATCAACCGCAAACCACGGTGAGGCCAGCTTTGCCACAGAGCATGCGGATTTAGCTTTCGTTTGTGCTAAACGTGTTTTTGTTTCCCCCCATTGGTACATAAACGTTGCCTGCTTCGTTGCTGATTGTCAATTAATCTAGGTTTTAAAAAGTGGCAAATTGAGCGCTCTTAAAATTTCACTTTATAAAATTAAATTTTTTATGAGCAGATATACTGCTAGCAGTGGCTTTAAAAATCTTTGCATCTTCGAAAGTTTATGTAAGTAAACTGTATCAACTGTTACTCTTTTAAATAACAATGTTTTGGAGTGAGAACACATAATTAGAAAAGCTAGAGAGGCAGAGGGGGGATTAAGAGTCAAAAATAATTATTTCAGAAAAGAATCACAAGCTGATACACAACAGAGAATATTTTCTTGGCTCCCCTCAACCATTTTGGAAATGCGTTTTTCCTCAAAACAGACCAAATCCAGCAACAACGAACAAGAAGTAAGTTCACGAAGCATCTTGTTTACGTTTCCAAGTGTCTGGTGATTTTTTTTTTTACCTGATGAGTTATTGTAACCTAATTACAGATTTTTAGTGACCGATAAATGAGACTGCCTGTGTACACTCCAAAGCTCATTTTCAATTTTACTAGGCCCCTTAATAAGAACTATGCTCAGGCAACATTTTAACAAGGAGATAAGCATTCCGACAGAGGGGACAGAGAACAGCGGACCCAAACATCACGGCAGTCTCTAACTGGGAGTGTCAACAGGGCAGATGCAGAATTTACTGATTTTTGAGTGTGTGCGTCTAGACCAGGCGTCCTCAAACTACGGCCCGCGGGCCATATGCAGGGGTGTTTTTGCCGGTTTGTTTCTTTACTTCAAAAATAAGATATGTGCAGTGTGCATAGGGATTTGTTCATAGTTTTTTTCTTTTTTAAGCTATAGTCTGGGTTGTGCAGATGCGCTGCGTAGCCACGCCCATCACTAGGGCTGATTTTCATAGCCACGCCCACCACTGGGGCTTATTTTTCATAGCCACGCCCCTCACCGGGGCTTATTTTCATAGCCACGCCCATCACTAGGGCTGATTTTCATAGCCACGCCCCTCACCAGGGCTTATTTTCATAGCCACGCCCATCACTAGGGCTGATTTTCATAGCCACGCCCACCACTGGGACTTATTTTTCATAGCCACGCCCCTCATCAGGGCTTATTTTCATAGCCACGCCCATCACTAGGGCTGATTTTCATAGCCACGCCCACCACTGGGGCTTATTTTTCATAGCCACGCCCCTCACCAGGGCTTATTTTCATAGCCACGCCCATCACTAGGGCTGATTTTCATAGCCACGCCCACCACTGGGGCTTATTTTTCATAGCCACGCCCACCACCAGGGCTTATTTTCATAGCCACGCCCATCACTAGGGCTGATTTTCGGGGTAGTGCCTCTATGGCGCACATGCTCAGAAATCCTGCTAGGGCTCATCTTATGGGTAGGTCTTATTTTTGGGGTCCCACAGACCCTTCAACGGTCTGAGGGACAGTAAACTGGCCCCCTGTTTAAAAAGTTTGAGGACCCTTGGTCTAGAGTGTCAGTTCTCTGGAGTACGGAATATCATTTCCACACAGCAAATTTTTAGGGTATGTGTTTTCTGACGGATGTGCAGAAACGGTCAGTCGAGGGATTAGAGAGCATAGTGGGACGAACAGACATCTGTCAGGGGGCCGAGGCAGACTGAGGATGGTGTGAGGGTTTTCCTACCTAACAAGCAACGGGGAGCTCACTCACACGCTCTACAGAGCTGCAAAATGAACATGAACTTGATTATACTTAGAATTTAATTATTACAAGTATAACTTCTTTTTAATTTTTTTTTTTTTTGAGACAGAGTCTCACTCAGTTGCCTGGGCTAGAGTGCCGTGGCATCAGCCTAGCTCACAGCAACCTCCAACTCCTGGGCTCAAGAGATCCTCCTGCCTCAGCCTCCCCAGTAGCTGGGGCTACAGGCGTGCACCACCATGTCCGGCTAATTTTTTATATATATATTTTCAGATAGCCAGTTAATTTCTTTCTATTTTTAGCAGAGATGGGGTCTCTCTCTTGCTCAGGCTTGTTTCAAACTCCTGACCTTGAGCGATCCACCTGTCTTGGCCTCCCAGAGTGTAAGGATGACAGGCGTGAGCCACCACTCCCGGCCCAAATATAGCTTCTGATTATACAATATGTTTTTTTTAAAAAAGGCAAATAACTTATTTCTCACATCCCGATTAACCATTCAGTTCACTTATTTATCTGCTATTGCTGTGTTGCCCATAGGGTAATAACCTCTGGCCACAGGTGGTTCTTGAGCACTTGAAATGTGATTAGTCCAAACTGGTAAAATATATGCCAGGTTTTGAACACTTAGGATAAAGAAAAGAATGTGAAATATCCCAATACGTTTTTTTTTAACAGTGATTATATGTTATAATAATAATCTTTTAATATATTGAGCTAGATATAATAGATTGAAACCAGCCTGAACAGGAGCGAGATCCCGTCTCTACTAAAACTAGAAAGAAATTAGCTAGACAACTAAAAATATATAGAAAAAATTAGCCGGGCGTGGTGGTGCATGCCTGTAGTCCCAGCTACTAGGGAGGCTGAGGCAGGAGGATCGCTTGAGCCCAGGAGTTGGAGGTTGCTGTGAGCGAGGCTGACGCCACGGCACTCTAGCCCGGGTGACAGAGTGAGACTCTGTCTCAAAAAAAAAAAACCCAAAATGCAGTCCAGCAGGTAGTCCTTTTAAAACTGGAAACATTACTTCATTAGTGGTTCTAATTCAACATTTCCTAACAAAGGAGCACAACATTTTCAGCTAGAATTTAAACACTAATTGCTCTCCATGGCTGGCAAAGTTGTTTTAACAACTTTAAAAAAGTGGGCAAATGACGTATTAATGAAAACGACGAGAAAACATCTTCATAAAGAAAATTTCTTTATGTATGCATGTCAGTGACAAGGATTTTAAATCGAATCTGCTCTTACCTCGATAATGTAGAGGACTATATTCTTGTAGAAGCAGTACAGGATACACTTGGAGACTCTGTTGTAGTTCCAGGCTCCATGCACCATCAACAGATTCTTCAGGTACTTGAACTAAAACAAGAGCGGAGAAAAATTAGTATTTTCCTCTTCATCATGTTACCGTGTTTACCCGAAAATAAGACCTACCCATAACATGAGCCCTAGCAGGATTTCTAAGCATGTGCACAATAGAGGCACTACCCCGAAAATCAGCCCTAGTGATGGGCGTGGCTATGAAAATAAGCCCTAGTGATGGGCGTGGCTATGAAAATCAGCCCTAGTGATGGCCGTGGCTATGAAAATCAGCCCTAGTGACGGGCGTAGCCATGAAAATCAGCCCTAGTGAGGGGCGTGGCTATGAAAATCAGCCCTAGTGATGGGCGTGGCTATGAAAATCAGCCCTAGTGACAGGCGTAGCTATGAAAATCAGCCCTAGTGAGGGGCGTGGCTATGAAAATCAGCCCTAGTGAGGGGCGTGGCTATGAAAATCAGCCCTAGTGAGGGGCGTGGCTATGAAAATCAGCCCTAGTGAGGGGCGTGGCTGCGCAGCGCATCTGCACAACCCATGCGTGTCGTCGCGGAGCGGGAAAGAACACGAGCAGCCCTTCTCATCCGCCCCGTGAGAGCTCTAGTGCTCCACAGGAGAGATCGGAGCCAGTGGTTCTAAAGGAAACAGAGTCGCAAGACATTCAGGATGGGATTCGGGGTTTGGAGAGTGAGGATGATGTTCCAGAAGAAGACGACTTCACTCTATTGGAATCAATGGAGATGGTTGTACCGTACTTAAAAGAAAATAACACATGCCCTGAAAATAAGCCCTAGGGTGTCTTCTGGAGGAAAAATAAATATAAGACCCTGCCTTATTTTTGGGGAAGCACGGTAGCTGACTGAGGGGGAAGGACGGGTTCTGCAGAAATGACGCCTCACCTGAGCGATGGAGTAGTCGGAAGAATTAGCCGCCTGCAGCCCTTCGTTGCCGCTGATGCCCACACCGACGTGCGCCGTCTGTATCATGCTGACGTCGTTCGCTCCGTCGCCGATCGCAAGAGTTACGACTTTGACTTGTTTCTTAACCATCTCCACCACTTCAGATTTTTGGAGAGGAGACACCCTATAAAAAGCACAACAAACCATGCATGACCTTCTGTTTTCCGAACAAAGGAAATTGGAAACTTGAAGGATAAAGGCAGCAGAAGATCCAAATTCGCTGAAGAACCATCATGGAAAAAGTCCTAGGTTTGCAGATGTTCGGTTCTGCCACGTTAAGGAGATAATAATAATAATAATAATCTCAGAAGCAAAGCCCTAGGAGGGTGTGACAAAAGAAGATACAGTGCTTCATTAAGCACCAACTTGCCAGGATGTTTGCATTCATTTGTTACAAGAGTTACGTTTGAGTTCAGTCATCCCATTGCTTCCTAACAGGTAACATCAAGAGTTTCTCATTCTTCACTTCTGATTTAAGAAGAAATGTCATAAAGGCTGCTAACTAAACCCCACGGCACCAGGAAGGTGAAGGTTTTGAGCTTCTGCAGGTTGGTTTTAAGACAATACACTATTAATACATGCGTAAACAACTTGAAACTCCACTTAAACTAACTGGGAATCGCCTAACCTCTCTCAACCTGTTCTCAGACACCGAGGTGAAGCTGCACCAAAGTAAACATCAAGTGTTGGATTATATGTAGTTCACGGGCTTCATTTTCTTCCAAAGCCACTAATGGCCAAGTAGAAATCAAGCAAGCTCTTACACAAACATGGGTCAAGGACAGAAGACACCATCTATTCTAAAATCAGACTTGGTATTCAATTTGGAGTAACTTTTCACAAACTTCTAAAGCCCCTGAAGAAATAAACCCGAAGACAATGACAGAAGTGTTCAATGACAGAATGCATTGCATAATTAACTTAATATATTGTCTATACAGCACCGGTGATTAAGGCAGGAAGACTACAGAATGAATTGGTCTAGAAAACTATTAAGATACTAAGTAGGCTGGGCGTGGTGGCTCACGCCTGTCATCCCATCACTCTGGGAGGCCGAGGCGGGAGGATCGCTCGAGGTCAGGAGTTCAAGACCAGCCTAAGCAAGAGTGAGATCCTGTCTCTACTAAAAATAGAAAGAAATTAATTGGCCAACTAAAAATATATATAGAAAAACTTAGCCGGGCGTGGTGGTGCATGCCTGTAGTCCCAGCTACTCAGGAGGCTGAGGCAGGAGGATCTCTTGAGCCCAGGAGTTGGAGGTTGCTGTGAGCTAGGCTGACGCCCCGGCACTCACTCTAGCCTGGGCAACAGAGTGAGACCCTGTCTCAAAAAAAAAAAAAAGATACTAGGTAGTAAGAAATGACTAAACATACATAATGTTAGTACACGAGAAAAATAAATCAGAGCTGAATTCTTTATCAAGATTAAGTGGCATGCACAGCTGTCTAATAAATATCTGATAAGTCATTAATCTACTTAAAAATGAAGATCATTACTCTGAAAGAATCAATTCATCTTTGTGCATTTTCCTGATTATCCTGTAGGAAAAACTCCTAGCAGTGGAGACTTTGTGCAAATACGTGCCTTCAGGAGGCAGCCCCTGCCCTTCTGAACCGCTTCAGCCGAGCAGCTCTGGTTTTTATTTCGAGTTTTAGAATCACTGCATCAGACTGTGAGTCCTTTGCAGACTGAACCGGTCTCCCCTTCTTTGTATTCTTAGTGCCTCATCCAGAGTAGATACTTAATAAACGGTTGCTGTACGAAAGAATCATTTTTAATCTTCTTTTCTTTGGATTTCCTTTCAGAGTCTGGCAATGGCACAAAATAACACAACCGTGAACTCGGCGAGGGAATGAATGAGAGGATCGAGCCACTAATGGGCTATTTCACTCTGAGCCCCCATTTTCGGGGGGGGGCAATTTCCATTTCATTTTCATATTTTATTTAATTTTTCTTAACGGGCTGATAGAGATTGGTTAAGTCAGCCTGCTGGCACTAGGCCCAAGTCTAAGCATGGACCATGGACGACAGTCAGTGAATGTCAGGAAAGAGAGGGCTCACCAAGAAATGGTCTAGAAAGCAAATGGGAAAAGAGAGAGCAGCACTTGAAAACAGTATCAAACTCCCTGGGCTAACAGCATAAATACATAAGGAAGCCACGCCAGGGGATCGACGGAACTAGGAAATGGTGGTGCTTTTCTCCTAAACTGAGCCTGCAATAAAAAAAGAAGTAGCTGCATGGTGAGTTAACACTCGTGACTTAAAGAAGCCTCAGAAAGAGCTGGACTGAATTCAGTTTTCTTTCTCTGTGGGGACTGCAACCAACTGCTGCTTCCTCTGCTTGAAGGTGTCATTTTCAACATGTTCGAATTAAGATTGGACCCAATCTTAGGGATGGGATGAGCATTTTGGAGGGGGAGGGCATAACTCTAACCCTTCTTAGGGAGAGGCAAAGATATACAATGTAACCAAAATGTTAAAAAAAAAAAACAAAACAAAACAACAGCAACAACAACAAAAACTTTCTAGCAGGTGGTGGGCAGGCAGAAGTGGGGAGGAAGAAAGGAATGAATGTTTCCATAACGTGTGCAATGCACACCACCAGGGCATTGGACATTTCCGGGGGGAGGGAGGGGGCAGGAGCAATATTTGTAACCCTAACAATATTTGTACCTCCATAATATGATGAAATAAAAGGAAAAAAAAAAAAGATTGGCTGAGGATTTCCCCCCTAATCTGTGGGTGAGATTAACTTCGGGGCTAGGAACAAAGCGTAATAATGCCCCCTCAGCAGGAAAAATGCCCTGCGTTTTTCGGGGGTGAGAGGCAGCCCCCAAAGTCCACTGTCCGTGGTACTAGCAGGTGCACCTGCCTCGGTCACCAAGCTACAAGCAGGCGACTGGTTTGGAAGAAACTTCCAGACATTGTACAACACGCTCATACCTGTCGGCTTGAAAGAGCAGCTGGTTCCTAAAGAAAGACGTCCGATGCAAGTTCAAATCCATAAAAAAAACGAAACGCACCTTCTTAAAACATTTAACTCCAAACATAAATGTACAAACTTGTGCTATAGGGCAAAGGACCTCACTTTTCACAGGGGTCTGCTGCTTGAAATCCCACACACTTTTGTTGCAGGAATCTCATGCGCGAGGCAAAGTGCATGGTTTGTTTTGCTGAAGTGTGAGCTGAAATGCAAGGATTCCTTTTACCCCAGATTATAGTTTTCAGATCCACCCTGAATTCAATAGCAATTTCTTTTTTAGCAACTCAAAAAGTCTTTCTAAAACAGTGTACTGTGTTTCCTCGAAAATAAAACAGGGTCTTATATTTATTTTTCCTCAAGAAGACACCCTAGGGCTTATTTTCAGGGGATGTGTTATTTTTTTTTAAGTACGGTACAACCGTCTACATTGATTCAAATAGAGTAAAGTCGTCTTCTCCTGGAACATCATCATCACTCTCCAAACCCCGAATCCCATCCTGAATGTCTTGCGACTCTGTTTCCTTTAGAACCACCGGCCCCGATCTCCCCTGTGGAGCACTAGAGCTCTCACGGGGCGGATGAGAAGGGCTGCTCGTGTTCTTTCCCGCTCCGCGACGACACGCACGGGTTGTGCAGATGCGCTGCGCAGCCACGCCCATCACTAGGGCTGATTTTCATAGCCACGCCCATCACTAGGGCTGATTTTCATAGCCACGCCCACCACTAGGGCTGATTTTCATAGCCATGCCCGTCACTAGGGCTGATTTTCATAGCCACACCCATCACTAAGACTGATTTTCATAGCCACGCCCATCACTAAGACTGATTTTCATAGCCACGCCCATCACTAGGGCTGATTTTTGGGGTAGGGCTTCTATTGCACACATGCTTAGACATCCTGCTGGGGCTTGTTTTACGGGTAGGGCTTATTTTCGGGGTGACACGGTACCAGCAGTGACCCAACGTGGACTTTGGAAACATCATAAAAGTGCTGTTTTCTTTCCCCATATATATATATTTCTTTAACCACTTATGGGTTTGCATTAGGATTTCAATGATTCACAGTTCTCTTCTCGTCCTTCCACTGTTGCTTTTGCTTCTTCTGGAGAAGAGACTCTACGGGAAAAGACCACGTACCCAGCATGTGCTGGAAAGGGCCATTTCTCTTTCCTGTGGCTCCACAAGCAGAGGGTGGTCCTTTGCGATTGGGTGTAGAAGTGCACTGAGCGCAATGTGCTTTTCCAGTGTTATTTTGGCTGCAGTTTCTGCACATGTTGTTCATTACTTTTCTTATTTGCTACGCAGTGACTCTCCCTGCCGCCCTTAGATCAGAGCACTTGAAATTTTTACCACTGTAGCTAAGAAGCATCTAGGTGGTCCATCTTACATAAGCCTTGTGTTGCATTCTTTTAATGGGATTAGCTAAATGAACCACCTTTCTGAATGCAATATGAATAGAAATTATATATATACCCATAATATGCTGAAATTAAAACACACACACACGTGTGTGTATGTATGTATGTGTGTATATATATATATATAGAGAGAGAGAGAGAGAGAGACAGACATATAATAAAGAAAAACTTAAGGGATTTTTTTTTTATAGGTAGCCAAAAGGATTATAATAATTTATCCTACTGGATTCTGTTTTGGGATTAATAACCTAAAAAAATTCTTACACATACACTTAAAATTATACCCATAATATAATACCATCTCAAAGCTTTTATATTGTAAAAGTTATTATACAGCTGCCTTTAGAAGGTGAATCTAGAATAAACTTTTAAGAAGAACATGGAGGAATATAGTATTTCTTAATAATCCTGAAGTGTTTTATACAGTGACTAAGCCCCAGTGTTTACTAAGCTTGAGTTCTGTTTCTGGCAACTATCTAGAGCTCAGAATTATTAGTGAGGGATTCTGTTGTGCTTTCCTTTGCAATGAACTTCCTAAGATCTCCCCTGTGAATATCAGTGTATTTCCCCTTGAGTCACATTCTGTTGACTAATAAAGAAATTACAAGAAGAGAGAAAAACATTACTTAGAAGGACCTTACTTGAATCTCTTCGACTTAAATCATGTTAGGTTCATTTACAAAGTTTTAAATTGAGATGGGATCAAAATATGGCAAAAAAAAA